CTGTTGGAGGCATGCCAAACATGGGAGAAAATGAGGGCCCTACCGGCGATGGTGTCACTGAGGGACCTGCAACCGAAAGGGGAGCTACAACGTACCGAGGCTGCCTCATCACTGGACGAGGAGCCTGAAGTGCAGCCAGAATCCGGTTCTATCCAGGCACCAGTTCAGCCGGCACTTCCTGCTGCACAACCTGCGTTTCTGCCACGCAAGGGAGCGAATTATGCAGCGCTTGCAATGCAGGATCAAGTGTTGACTCGTCTAGTGCCTCTAATCTACTTAGCTCCTGTCTCTTGCTCCCTATTCTAGCTTTTCTCAATATAGCTCTGTCTCCTCTCTGCTGCCTCTCTCAACAGCAGCTGCAGCTGGTCATGAAGTTCTTCTGCTTGGAGGATCTCATAATCCTCCGGTGTGAGTTGAGTCTGTTGGCTGACTTGCGAACCAACAGTCCGACTAAAGGAAACATGAGAAGCACTCTGACTGACTCCTGACAAAGTGGCCTGGGACGAGGCCTGTGACATGCTGGAGGCGGTAGCTATCGCGGCCTCTAAGCTGGCTGCTGCTGACCTAACCCTCCTTAATGTTGCCCTCTCCCTAGCTTCCCTCCGCAGCCTCCTTTCCTCTCCTAGAGCTAACTCTTGAAAAGTGATCGGACGACTGAGAGCAGTTCTACGTGTAACTCTTAAGGGGTTCCACTAATCGTTCCTCCTCCCCACTACTGCTTTGCTTCACTCATGAGCTACAGTGTGATCTAAACTAGAATCCACACTGAATCCTACCTCAGCATGACACCCAACTGAGTATGATATGCAAATATCTTCGGTCAGCATGGAGAGAAACAGTCAAGTGGACAATGACAACTAATGTCAGATCCTACAGGTAACACTAGTTCTGTTTTTAGATTACTTTGATACAGAATGCAATGCAGCAAGGAAGGTACTATCCTATCTGCAGCTGTCTGTCAGTTGTCAAGAAGTCAGTACAACTAAATAATCAAAAATAAAACAGTTTACCTGTGGAGATGTATGCTGGATGGCAGTTCATCTAATTTGTACAACAGCGAACAGTTACCGGAATCCCCCCTCTCCCTGTATCCTTCTTGAGTGGTCACTTTGTGTCAACCGCCCTGAGCATCTGGTTGAGCAGCGTGTCTGAAGGTGTGCAATCCGGCCCACCCCTGTGCCCCAAGTCTATGCCGAACCTGCCAGCCCCTACATGTTGTTTACCCTCGCATGCAACAAGTCTTACATCCGGTTTGATCTGGCTGATCAAGAGGCAGTTTAAGGACAGCCCCCAAGGTCCTCAGGAATTATTTAACGTCGCAGACAGGACGACGATCACAGCCAGGGCTCAACACCGGAACCCGCCAGAAATATTTATAGACGGTCTGGTGAGTGTCTCTCAAAGGGCTGGCATGCCCTGCATGACCTCTATTGCGTAGCAGCAGAACCAAGGACTTGCGGCAAAGCATGCGTGTAGTCCCAGCGGGTTGGCATGGTGACCATGACCCGAGTGCTTCATCCAGGGCCCTTCAGAGGCTTTGCCCGTCTCCCACCAGCTTGCTGCCCAGGAAGAATGTCGACTCAAGGTTGAGCGGTCGCAACACCTCACATTGAGAGGACTCTCAAGACAGAACTTACTTCCTCTCGGTAAGAAGTAATGAAGAGGGTAGATAAGGAAGAGTGCAACGTATCTCATAATGCTCCCCCCAACCACAGATTTCTCACCGGCAACCTGATGTGCATTTATGATGAATGGTCTTTGCCTCGGCACAACCGACAGCAGAATGCAGTTCCACCTCGGCTTAAATGCCACATCAGCGAGCTCTCATCAACCAGCGTACCCCTATGTCACCACATAGCTTCCTGGCGCGCCCACACGAACCTGGGCCGCCAATCGTTCAGCGCCCAAGCCTTATTACTGCCGCACACCTCATTGCTAAGAACCAATGAAGCGCAGTTTGAACCAGCTCGGATACCAAATTGCAAGGAAAATGAGCTATAGCGAGACGACAATATCTCGATTGCACAATCATATTGAAAGCCAGAGAGTATCACAGTGTCACCACATAGCTTCCTGGCGTGCCCACCGCCAATCGTTCAACACCCAAGCCTTATTACTGCCCCACACCTCATTGCGAAGAACCAATGAAGCGCAGTTTGAACCAGCTCGGATGCCAAATTGCAAGGAAAATGAGCAATAGCGAGATGACAATATCTCGATTGCACAATCACATTGAAAGCCAGAGAGTATCACAGTGTCCAGAAAGCAGCATTGCACCAATATAACACCAATGGAGAATAGTAACACGGAAAACCTAATGTCAATGAGAGCTTGCTCTCACCACCACCAACATAAGTGTCCAGGCCCTTCTCTCTACTTGGCGCTCGGCGCCCAGCTTACTTCCTACACAGCTACTATCTGTCTACTAATTGACAATGCAACTGTTGACGTCAGCAGCCCACGAAGGACTTGAAGATGTCGCCCAATGCAGACCATCGCCAATACCAGGTATGTGCCCTCACATCATCATCATCATCATCCTTCTCTCTCTCCCTCGACTTACACCCACGTCTTCCCTCTGTAGACCCGAAGACCACCTCTGCGCCTCATTGTAGTCCGAGCTCCAGCCAGCTATGGAGGCTGGGCTATGGCACTGCCCTCAGCAGCGCCCTGCTTCCTGCACGACCGCACACGCGCAGCACCTTGCCCTTAGCGCTCAGCAGCCCGCGAGCAAATGCTCCGGCAGCGCTGCCACATCATCTGGCGAGTGCCTGAATGAGAGCCCAGGCAGCGAGCTCTTTCCTATATGGAAAGAGCTTGCCTGCCCCGGCGCCCTGGCTGGCCTGGGCCTCTGCCCAGAAGCTTCCGATAGGCCCCAGGAGGCTGTGCGTCTGTTGCAGCTGCTGGGCCTCGTTCGGTTGGGCCTCCCAACTGTCTGTGTATGGGGCCGCGGTTCTTGCCCAGGGCCTGCATTTCCGGAAAGGCCTGGAAGGCGGTGGAATATCTTTGCTGCTCGGCCTTTGTTTCCCTCAACCAACTGGAGCGTCACAACTGCCTGGATCCCAAATACGAAATTGACAGCAATGGGCCTCTTCAGATTTGTGAGGCCCGCCTTCACTTACGGCGGGCACACCTGTAACAGGGGCCCCTTAACCCTGCCGAGGATCCAGATCCTCGCACAAGTATCAGGTGGGGCCGCAGATCACTTGGGCCTGGGACTGAAGGCAGGCCAGACCACCGGCGAACCAGACCACCGGTGAACCAGACCACCGGCGAAACAGTATAAATCAAGAGGCAGCGCCCAGCCATTGATTCAGTCACCTGCGAGCCATGCGGAAGCGTTGCTTGTGCGACTTGTGCATTCGGAGGTCTGCAGGTGCTTGAAGACGAAGAGGGCAGAGGAGGACAACGGCGACCATAGCTGCCAGCACCTAGAGGAGGAAGACGACGACGGCCATAGCAGCCAAGCGCTGACGTCAACAGTTAGCGTCCAGTGTGTGTGTGTGTGGGTGCGTGGACATTCAGGGTAGATCCTAGTGCGTACGTGTATGAGTGAGAGTGTGTCTGATGGTGGTTGCAGTGTTCCAGTGGGAATTCAGACCAGCGTGCAGCTTCCATAGCCGCTAGATGTGAAGAGTTGACTTAAGCTGAGACTCACATGTATGCATGTTGCGAGTGAAATTGAGACAAGTCTGATTGCAATTTTGTTGCGATTGATCAACTGTTCAATTAACCTGGCTCAAATTCGAGCTCAGATCGTCACTCATACGACATGGAACGTTCACAGATGATTCGTAAAGTCATGAGATGGCCAAAATAGCATCTGCCAAGGTGGAAAGCACTTCAAAACATTGATTATTTATACAAGCATCGAGTTCCAATTAGAAGCCGTTATGGCCACTGTTGCCATCATCATCATCAAGTACTTGCGTAACAATGGGACAATGCAGAAAACAAAAGATGGTGGGGGAAGAAGATAACGAGAAAAGGAGTTGGGAGAGGGTGTGAGGAAAAGAAAGGGGAAAAAAAGAAGGAAAAGAGACAGAGAGAGAGATAGATTGAGAGAGAGAACGAGCAATGAAGTAGAGGGATGACACAGATGGCATGCAGGAGAAAAAGAAGAAATGCCAATATGTAGGGAAACAAAAAAGGACCGACGCGCCCGATATCTTCACATAATGATGACGAATACCTCTCTCTCTCTCTCTCTCTCTATCTATCTATCTATCTATCAATCTATCTCTATCTCTCTCCCTCTGCCTGCCTCTCTCT